AGAGGAGCTGGACCTGGCACCAGCCCTCCAGTGTGGAACGCTGGCATCCCAGGTGACATCTTCACCCACTGCATCACTATGCCCGTGGGACACTTTCTCTTTAATTTATTGCCTTTCCTAACATGGCCCACTCATCCCCTTGGTTCCTAAGTATGTGATCTAATAGCAGGTGACATATCCAGAAAGTTCTTGCCATTGTTCTGAATTTTGGGCGCTGGATTAAGACACCAGGTCTTTCCCTCTGATCTGGGCCACAGGGTTTTACAAATCAGAACAGAGATGCCACTGCCAACCCCCCACATACACACACACACACACACACACACACACGCTCTGGTCATCTACATACATATTTTGCTCTCATCTGCACTGCCAATGAAACAACCCAAAAACCAGTAGAAAAAAAAGGCCAGAATAGATTTTTTGCGTGGGGCAAATACTCACTGTGAAGATGTGCTAGAGAAGCTGCCTTTGGGGGGATTTTTGCTGCTGTTGCAACTGAAAACATTCCTTAAAGGGGGTCTGGCTTTTTAACTGTCAAATTATCTGACGGTTGTGCCAGTAATGTTTCATTTCTTTTAGCTTCTCCAAAAGGCATCCCACGTCAGCCTCTCCAATGACTCGTGAGATGAAGTTTGAAAGCATAAAGCGGAAAAGCTGAGGAAACTGGGCCCCAGGGAACTGGTGACAAGAGCTCTCCTCTGGTATGCAAATTTGTGCTACCAAACTGCTTTGTAGGTTTCCTAGATGAGGCAGAGAGAGCAAGGTCCCCAGATCAGATCTCGGGATTTTCCTTTGCTGAGAATGAGTTAGTAGCTGCCAGAACAGCTGAGGACTCTGCAAAGCACACAGTGCAAACCCCTGGTGCTTCCGGCATCTCCAGAATGAGAGTAATCACTTGGTGGAGGGATTCCTTCCTGGTTTATTCAGCGCCGGGCTCTGGCCAGCTCCACAGTATCTCCCCTTCCTACTATCTGTGTCTCTTGTTCACCATGTCAGCTGGAAAGGATAGCTGGTTTCCAGAGCCCTGCCTGTGGCTGGCTGCCCGTGTGACGACATTGCTTGGGTTAGAGACACTGTATTGGGTGCAAACAAGTCAGAGTAGGATGGAAAGGGGTTAGACTGAGACGAGGCCAGGGAAGGAAAAATCACAGTCATCCAGCTGCCTCCCCACCCTGCCATTCACGTGGCCCTGGCCAGCCCTCCCACTCCCACTCCGACAGCCTCGACCCCCACTGTTGCATTCATTAGGCAGTGGAAATGCGGCTAGGGCATGGGGGAGCTGGAGATGCACACAGGGAGGACATCCACAGCAGGCCTTGATGGCGGTGCTACTTACACCTGTACTGCCTAGGTGTAGTTCTGGCCTCAGCCCACCCATTTTCCCTCAGTGCACGTCAAGTATTTGGACAAGTTGGACCCAAGTGGGGCTGCAGATCAACCCTAGAGAGTCACGTTTTTGCATTTGTTCTCTCTTTATCTAAATGTTCCATTATTCTCTAAGAAAAAATGTGCCTCTCAAGAAAACAGGAGCCTTGCATTGTCTTCCAGGAGAGATTTCTGCAACTCTACTCACATCCTTCCCCTGCCCACCTCTGTGACTGAAGTAGAGGGGTTAGAAGGGCTGACTGGGTGAGGGCCCGTCAGGATGCAGCAAAGCCCCAGGCCCTGACTGCCACGGAGCCTCGGCCTGCGTCTGCCGTCTTCTGGCAGTTTCCTTCCCAGCAACCTGGGCTTCGTTACACTTCGCGCTAGCGGCTCATCCTCTGCTTTCAGCCTACTTTGTTCTTTATTTTTCTTCCTTTTGCTGTGGGTTGGGGGCCTCAGAGCATTTCCTCTGCAAGCCTAGCAATGCATTAGTAAGTAGTTTTCTCTAGAATCTACGTGCTTTCTTATAATCGGCATGCTCCAGAGAGCATCTAGTTTGAAGCAGAGAGCAAGCCCAAGTCTTTCTCACTTCTCTGTGGCCCCCGTTGTATTACTGCAGACTCCTTGAGGACGGGGTATGAGTCTTGCTCACCATTTTGTTCTTGGTATCAAGCACAGTGACCTGCATACCGTAAGCATTTAATAAACATCTGTGGAGCGAAGGCGTCCCCAGGGGGTGGAACTAGCCCTTTATCAGGATTCCCCTGACTTCGCATTCTTCAGATTTGTCTGGTTCTTTGCTGGAGAAAACCTCACCTCCTCAGCTCTCCAGAACTGTAACAACAGAGGTCCCTGCTTAGGACCAGCTCAATCCTGGGCTTTGCCATTCAATAGCTTGCTGACCTTGGGGAAAAGATCCAGAGGCTTAATATGCTGAACCATCGTTTCTTTTCATTTGTGAAACATTGCTAATAACCGCTATCTCATAGGTGGTGTGGGTTTTCTTGGTGAGATCAAGGGTGCGAGCTGCTTCCCATAGGGGCTGTATGATACTGAGCTGATTTCCCAGTGAGGCCTCTGGGGAGCATGGTTGGCTGGGGGAGAAGTGGGAAGGGAAAGAACTCCCCTTTCGCTTTACAGGCCTCAGCTTTGTTTGAACTCATTACACGCATCAGTGTTAATATCTTTAAAATAAAAATCTCCTTGCAAAAATATTAGTTGGCATCTCCCTAACGTATATTGATGTCTATTCCCAGATTGAAGAGAACTGTGTCATTGCATTTCCATACCAATTTTCCTGCTAGCAAAAATGACGATTGAATTAGCTAATAATTAAGAATGGTAGCAAGAGTTTGGAGAGTGTGTTTGAACGAAGAAAATAGTAACCTCTATTGAAATAAGGGTTTGGTTTTAGGGGATTGTATTGTAGGAAATCTGAAAATCCTGGTGCATTTTATGGTATGTTCATCATGTGTCTTACTGTTACCTTTACCCTGTCCATCAGTCTGTGTTACAGAGACTGTGTCAAATTGATATGTTGGATACATACACCAACACATGTCTATTTCATTGCACAAGTAATAAAATCATTATCCTAATTGCCTTAATAGTCAAGGCCTGGTGGATGCTTGTGGTTTGGCAACACTGCATTTCCCAGATGCTGACACTTCATACAACTGCACTGTTTAACCACCACTAGTTGCCCATTATTTTCTTAAGTCATTATTTTACAATAAACATTATCCCACAATAAGCCATAAAATTTAGCATTGCTCATGAATATGGATGTCAGAGGACTTTAAAAGCAAAAGATCTTTTTCATTAAGATGAGAAAGTGAAAAAAATGTGACAATAGTAGTGAGAATCTAAAAAAAAATATGTATTTGTTTAGGTTGGGTTTAAGCCATCTAGCTGAGAAAATAATAAAGTGCAGTAGCAGTAGCAATATACTGTAATTCTCAAAAAGCTCATTCAGCATAATTTCTTTTTTATAAATAAAAAGCCATAAATAAATATGATGACTGTAGGCTAATGTGAAATTATATTCAGTACCATGGACCAGATGTTTTTCTCTCCTATCTTTGTTTTCTTAAGGTCAATTTTTGTTGCTCCTCCCTCTGCCTTCCCCTGATATATTTAAGTAATCTGTGAATAAATAACTGGGGGTGGCATTTGCTCCTTTTCTCAAGGGATCTTGTTTTTGCACAAGAAAGAATTCAGAACTGAGACAGAGGGTAGTGTTAAGTGAGCCGGCCAAGTTTGATGAATATAAGTACACCTGGTAAACCAGGTGGGCATCTCAGTCTGCATTCAGATTGGGGGCTTATAAGGGGATAGGGCCCAGTTCTTCCCAATATTTCTCCAGGAAAAGGGTTTGCTGGGTGTGCAGTAGATAAAATTCCTCCCAAGGTTTTATTACCCAGTGCTGTCAGGCTGAGTAGCCCACTGGGTCCCTTCTTTGGGGGACAGCCTGGGACTGCCTATTAAGTTATTGGGGTACAGGTAGGAATTGGTATTGTAAATTACAGGGCTTCTTCCAAGGTGTGCTTTCCACATTTTGTAGTGACCTTCAGCCCTGTGTCTAGGGCTGGAGGCTTCCCCTCAGCAGTTATTCCCTGAAAGAACTTCCCTGGAGTATTTCTGGCTTGCAATGGCCCCCTGAAATCCCTGTGTGTGCCAGAAACCCTGATGCTACATTACTACCAACAGCAGCAAGACCATAAAGACTGTCACCAAGAAAGAACTAGGACAATCTTCTTGTTATCTTCTGAATCCTGAATTTCCCAGGGGACAATAAAGCACCCCGCTGTGCCCCTCAAACTGCCTCCCACTTTTCCTGTGAGCACTTCCATTTGTATCTTGCTAGAGATGACCAGGAGCACCGAAGATCTGGCCCCTTTCATCAAATGCTCCCTTGCAGACTAGAACTTCCCAATTGGATATCCTGCCACGCATACTTTTGTGCTGGGCTCTTATGCCCCGGTAGTCTTACACTAAGTACCACCACCAGGCCTTCAAGGTCACCCTCTATGATGCAACCACACTGTTAATGAGGCCCAGGGGAGTAATAAAGACCATCTCAGAGGACCCAAGGCTCCCAGTATCTTTGCTCATGGGTTACAGAGCATGAACACTGGCTGTGGATATCATTTAGTGGAAGAGAAAGCGAGGTCTCTGGCCTGGGGCAACACACTGGGAGTGAAGGGGTCCTACTAAGTCTGTGAAGTCCTGGAGCGAACATGACTGCATGGCTAATGCTTTATTCATCAGGGTGCAATGGCATCATTAACAGCACATTAGTTTAAAGAGTAACTAACATGTTCTTTGGGACCCTACTGAGAGAAATGCTAAACAGGATGAGCAACTGGCTCAGGCTGGCCTTGGTGAGATCTGGGTTTTATTGCAAGTACATTTGCATGGATTAAAGGGCTCTAGCCAAGGCTTTCTGGAAATTAGATAACTCATTTACCAGAGTTTGCAGCCATTTAAGGGTCAGTTATTTACCCATAACAATCAAAATGTTCTACTTTCTAACTTAATATGTTCTCCGTGGTTGGGTCAAGGTGTAAAATGAATACATAATGAAAAAAAAAACAGTGCAAAGCAGCACAAATTATAGAATCATATTGTCTCTTTTTCTTTATTTAAGAAGGTAATAATATTTCTAGAAATTTCTTTTTGTATATCAGTGTAGCCAAAAAGGGAAGCTTGTGACCAATAATGCCTTTCTATACTGTGCAAGAATAAAAAGTAGTCAGGATTTTTGGCTGCACACTGAGTTTATAGAATTGGCCGAGGTTGATGGCTGAGTCTTTGAAGCCGGGAGTCCACCTGAAGTCATGTTCCAGAGGCAACCTTCCCTCTTGCAAGGGGGCTCTTTCCTCTGATCTCCCTGGTTCCTTCTCAGCAGTCCATAGCTTATGTAGTTACACCGTTCTGTTTATTTTTGTCTCCTTGGTAGAACTTGTCAAATATGAAGGTGAAAAGAAGAGAGAGAATGCAAACTCAGAAAGAAAACAAATAAATAAAACCTGTCAGTTGAGGGGAGGAAAGAATGATCTGATGTGTCCTTAATCCATTTCCTACATTCATCTGTGACTTACTTGGGTGGTGGCTGAGCCTCACTGCCCCTATCCTGGAGATGGAAGAAGCCCTTTTCATGGCCAAGCAGCACTGCAGAGGAAGGATTTGAGGACAGAATTCCTCTCCGACCCTCCAAGTGGAGAGAGAACTCATGAAAACTGTGACCACCACCCCCAACAGTGGGTGGCCGCAGCCGTTACTGCTGGGGACTGCACAGTTGCCTGTCAAAAACATTCTGGAGACATCTGAATGTTGGAGAAGTTGGAACTGATGGACTATTAGCCTTCATCCAGTTCTTTGATGCTCCCCATGCTCTCCTCGGTATGTTTGTCCTGAACCCAAGGGACTTAGAAAAGCATTGCTTCAAGACAGACTCTTCTAGTTTAAATCAGTCTACACTGAGGTCAGTGATGGTCTGGCTACTTACTAATTTACTTACCAGCAGAGTCAACCAATGACAGCTTTTCCTGTGGGAGGTGTATTTTGGAAGGTAGAAAGCAGCAACGTGTGACGGTTGAATGTGTCTGCAGTTGATCCACTAACAAGGGGAACGTGTTGGAGCACTACCTATTTCACAAGCAGTCTTCAAGCATAATATCGCTCTTTCCAGAAAACCTGAAGCAGTCCAAATATGGAAGACACTGTATTTTAAATCTGTCTATACACAGACTTTGAAATTACTTATTATCACACTAGCAACCATGCCTGTTTTTTCTTTGCTGCTTTTAACAGAAAGAGTTGCACTTGGTCCTTAAGGTCTCAAGATTACTCTTTTATTATTTGTTCAGTGTAGAAATAGACAGTATCTTTTTTCTCCAAAAGCAAAGAATTCCTGAGAAAAAAATCCTTTTACCTCTGTCATTTCCCTACATTTATTGTACATTTTTATATTGAATGTTGAATACTTTTTGTGTGAAAAGATAATTACCTTTTGTACTATACTTGTCCATGCTGGTTGAGTTGTCTCTTTGAAGAATTTAGTCATTTTTTGTTTGATTGCATGGTTTCAGAAGGAGACCTTCTTTCACTCCCTTGCCCTCCTTTCCCCATTCTCACTCGCTCGCTCTCTTGTGTCTCAAGTTCTTTGAAGTCAGACATGTCATGAGTAAAACCGTATCCATTCAGTAACCAACGATTCTCTCCTTAAGATGGAAGGAAGATGATTTATAGCTTAAAATTGGCTGCTAGACAAAGTAGAAAAATGGACGATGTAATCACAGACCCATAATGGAATTTCGTGTTTGAGAAATGACCAGATCTGCTTTATGTCCTCTGTGGTGCATGCCAGCTTGAAACTTCTCTTTTCTTCCAGTGACTTCACTTTTCTAGTACTGTGCATATATGCCTTTGTTGCACTAATGTACTGCTTAATGGGTCTGGAGATGGAGTTATTTATAGATTTCGGCTCATTCAAAGAGCAGCTGTGAGAAGTCTCACAAAAAGAGAACATCACTGTAACCTGTTTATGACCCTACATCGGTTGCCAGGGAGGCGTGGAATCTTAAATCATAGGGGATGACTTGTTAAGTACACCAAGGGCTTATCTTGAAAGATCTGACAAAATTTCTTTTTTAAATTGTCTTCCTTTGATACTTGAAATTCATCTGTGTTCTGGTTTCCAAGAGAAATTTTCCCCTTTGTGTTATCTTTCAAAACTTCAAGCCTTAGGATTCATCCCTGGAACTGAAGTTTCGTTTGCTTTTTCCTTTGTCCCTTTCTTACCTCCTTCGTTTTCATTTTTTCTTCATTGCTACCTGTCTCCCTTTCCTCCATGCATGAATTTATTTGAAAATATATAGATATATACTCCATGTATAGTTTTTCACTAATATTCATTTTCCATGAACTTTTGAACCTCTCATATGCATGGGTTTCAAATTTTTTACACCAAAATAAATTTTAATCCTCATCACGTACATACATATATGTGGAAAGGCAGCACCTGCCACATTCCAGGTTCTGAGCTTGCCAGCTGCAGTCTCTGCAAAGATGACTAGTTGTCTTAATCATGCTACACTTGTAGTTTACTAGGGAGACAGAAATTATCAACTCACTCACATGTGGAGTGACAAGTGCTGGTGTAGAGAAAGTGCAGGCTACCATGGGAACACAGGAAGAGGGAGTCCTTATCTTTTTTGTCTTTTTGCCTCGTAAAGAAAAATGAAACCATACTTCAAACAGAAATGATCTCTCTTCACAGGTACACTGTGATGTGATCTATGTGAAATCATGACAATTTTCATTTTCAGTGAAAATCACTTCTTTGGTGATTTTATAAGTATGTGAGTACAGGTTAGATATTAAAGAAGTACCTTTTGATTTCATGGATTCGATATAAAGTGCTATAGAGTTCACTCCTACCTAAATTTATCTTTTCCCAGCTGCATGCTCTGTCCATACCATTCCCAAGAAGAGACTTACCTATTTATCACTAAAGGGGAGCATTTTAGTTTTATTTGGTACAAAATTCCTAATTGGCAATCCTCTGATTCAAAATTTCCATTACTTCTTAATCTAAATCTTTTTCTTTTTTTAAGTTTTATTTAGTAAATATAATTTCCAAAGTACAGTTTATGGATTACAATGGCTTCCCCCCCCATAACTTCCCTCCCACCCACACCCCTCCCATCTCCTGCTCCCTCTCCTATTCCATTCACATCAAGATTCATTTTCAATTATCTTTATATACAGAAGATTGATTTAGTATGTATTAAGTAAAGATTTCATCAGTTTGCACCCACACAAAAACACAGTGTAAAAGTGTAAAATACTGTTTGAGTACTAGTTATAGCATTAACTCACATTGGACAATACATTAAGGACAGATCCCACATGAGGAGTAAGTGCACAGTGACTCCTGTTATTGACTTAACAAACTGACACTCATGTTTATGGCATCAGAAATCTCCCTAGGCTCTAGTCATGAGTTTCCAAGGCTATTGAAGCCTCTTGAGTTCGCTGACTTCGATCTTATTTAGACAAGGCCATAGTCAAAGTGAAAGTTCTCTCCTCCCTTCAGAGAAAGGTACCTCCTTCTTTGATGGCCTGTTCTTTCTACTGGGATCTCACTCACAGAGATCTTTCATTTAGGTGGTTGGTTTTTTTTGTTTGTTTGTTTGTTTTGCCAGAGTGTCTTGGCTTTCCATGTCTAAAATACTCTCATGGGCTCTTCAGCCAGATCCAAATGCCTTAAGGGCTGATTCTGAGGCCAGAGTGCTATTTAGGACATCTGCTATTCTATGAGTCTGCTGTGTATCCCGCTTCCTATGTTGGATTATTCTCTCCTTTTTTTATTCTATCAGTTAGTATTAGCAGACACTAGTCTTGTTTGTGTGATCCCTTTGACTCTTAGACCTATCAGTGTGATCAGTTGTGAACAGAAGTTGCTCACTTGGACTAATGAGATGCCATTGGTACATGCAATCTTGATGGGATTGTATTGGAATCCCCTGGCACATTTCTAACGCCACCATTTGGGGCAAGTCCGATTGAGCATGTCCCAAGTTGTACATCTCTTCCCTCTCTTATTCCCACTGTTATATTTAACAGGGATCACTTTTCAGTTAATTTTCAACACCTGAGAATAATTGTGTGTTAATTACAGAGTTCAACCAATAGTATTAACTAGAACAAAAAAATACTAAAAGGGATAAAGTATTAAATTACATCAACAGTCAGAACAAGGGCTGATCAAGTCACTGTTTCTCATAGTGTCCCTTTCACTTCAACAGGTTTCCTTTTTTGTGGTTGGTTAGTTGTCACTGATCAGGGAGAACATATGATATTTGAACCTTTCAACTGGTTTATTTCACTCATCATGATGTTTTCCAGATTCCTCCATTTTGTTGCAAATGACCAGATTTCATTGTTTTTAACTGCTGTATAGTATTCTGTAGAGTACATGTCCCATAATTTCTTTATCCAGTCTACTGTTGATGGGCATTTAGGTTGATTCTAGGTGTTAGCTATTGTGAATTGAGCTGCAATAAACATTAAGGTGCAGACAGCTTTTTTGTTTGCCAATTTAATTTCCTTTGGGTAAATTCCAAGGAGTGGTATGGCTGGGTTGAATGGTAGGGTTATATTCAGGTTTCTGAGGAATCTCCAGACTGACCTCCATAGTGGCTTTACCAGTTTGCATTCCCACCAACAAGTTAGTGTCCCTTTTTCCCCACATCTTCACCATAAATCTCTTTTTCAAAACCTGAATTCTACTTTTAATGGAAAGAGTTGCACTTGGTCCTTAAGGTCTCAAGATTACTCATTTATTATTTGTTCAATGTAGAAATATACAATATCTTTAAAAAATCATTTTACCTGCCATTTCTCTACATTCATTGTACATTTATATTAACCTGCTTTGCCACAACACCAGCCCCCGATATACCCACTTTCAATAGGAGCCTGTATTTTGTAAACAGTTACAGATGAATTTTATTATTCAGAATCTGTGTCTTTTGTTCTTGTAAAAGTTCAGGAGAGTTAGAAGGGGCTGCAGTTAAAGAGTGGGAGCAGTCTTTATCTTCTTTTTTTTTTTAGGCCAAATAGTATTATTATTATTTTGCTGAGGTTTCAAGAACTATTTGCCACATTAACATAGCCCAATGAAATACTAACCATAAGTATATTTTATTAAATAGTTGTGAAGTTGGACATGACATTTTGTGCATGAATATATCTTAGCAAAGAACAGGTTCTGTATCCATTAAGCCCTGGACAAAGCTGTTCTGTTATCCTTGACATTTTGTACAGCTGATTGTTTTCTGGTGATCATACTGCACTAAAAGCTGTAAATAGAAACTGCCAATTTCATAATTGGTCATGAATCTCTTTGAAAGCTTTTATAGTTGCATGGAAAGAAAAAGCCAAGAGAGACAAAAATTCATACATCCTTTAAATTACATTACATGGTTTTATAAAAGAATTGTGGAAAATGAGATATCCTGCTACAGTTTAGGTGTGGCACAGAAAACCAGGGCAACACTTTCTTTTGGAAATATCAAGTGTTATTCACTCTTTCAGAATTAATTACATAATTATCCACCAGAACACAAAGATCCCAGGGTACCCTAATGGAAACACTACACTTCCAAATAAAATAATAATAATTATTCCCTACTATATTCAAAGTGCTTTATTAGCCATAATTTTTAGCTCCCCACATCTCTGTGTGTAAATAAACATCATTAAGAATGTTAATCTTTCGTCTAGTTTAGAAATAAGAAAACTAAGGCAAAGAAATTGATTTGAATGATGAATTAGGCATTATGGTCTTGAATCATTTAAGGAGGAAAGTATTCAATAGGAACTATAGACATTGGAGTCCAAAAATAGCTCTTCATAAATTATGATGCAGTAATTAATTTAAAAATATTACCTTTCTTCTAAGCTGACTGATCACATTAGCTTAAATTTTGTAATGAGCATCGTGGCAGCCTTAAGACTATGGGAAAATGCCTAAGATTTGGCAGAAGTAACCTTGTGGTCGCCTTCCTAGGCACATGGTAACCACATGAAGTTGTATAGATTGGGAGATTGAAAAGATGTAATACACTGAATGGTGTAGAGTTAGATTAGGGGATAAATCAAGGCTTACCCAGCCCATCTTGCCACTGCAGTAACGCTTTGATTTTCTTTCTCTGAGGAAGCAGTTGCATTTTGTTAAGATGGCCATGAAAACTGCTGGTAGGAGCTATGGACCTCTAGGACGTTTGATGCCCCTTTATGGAACAGTAGCCACAAAGCTGAAAACTACGACTGGAACCAAAGAGAACCAGGACTGTCCCTAAAACATGGTTAGCAGAAAGTCAAGGTGAAATGTGACCAGTTGTCACTAGTCATGAAGCTCACCAGGTTAAAGCAATGTTGCTGATACAGTGTTCCAACTCTGCAGACTCATAAGACAGGACAAAGAATTAGGATTGGTGCCTATTTGGAAAGAACTGGATCTTGGAGGAGTCCAGCCAACCAGACTTCAGATGTGGGAGACAAGGAAGACAAATAGAGACCTTGCGATTGTCTGAAACATCTCTACTACAAGGCTGTCTGAGCAAAAGGAAGAACACATTCTTGCCCGCCTCCACCTTGGTGTTCTGAAATGGTCAGAGGTGGAAGCAAAAAAAAAAAAATGCTGTGAAGTTCCATTGTCAAAACATTGCTGCTCAGTGGACAGCTCACGGGGAACCATCTCTATCTGATGGTACTCATTGCTTGTGATAATTGATGCCCAATGTCTAAGCAAGTTCTGACTTCATTTGGATGATGGAATTTAATGGCAAGGTATAACATATTTGTTCTGGGTATAATTTGCCTCTAAATTTGGAATCATTCACTGCTGGATGATGAAGATGTTCCATCTTCCTGATAGACAAGTGGGAAAGAAAATCCCCCTTATGCCTGTCTAGTTGGAGACCAGAGATTTATGAAGACCTTAGAAACAGTTTCCTCATTATCCATCCGTTCTTGAGACACTGAAACCCAAGCTGCCGTGTGTATTAGCCTTCTGCTCAGCTGGCCAGAAGCTGTTTTTGACAGTACAGTGCCCAAAAGATTACTGATTCTGGCACCCAAGAACCAAAGAAATGAAAGAACTTATCATAAAAGTTTCAGACCTCACACTGAGTGTACTGACAAACCAACCATAACATTCTGTTCTCAAATTATCATTCACAGAAACATGGTTTAGAAAAATTCCTAGATGTACACTTAAATAAAAGTAAATATTCAAACTCATTTGTCATGCACAGTGTCCTTTGCTCAGTTGCTTGTGTCGGTTTTGACTTGGTGAAAGTGCAGTTAAAATATGAAGGCTCTGTGCGTTTGCATTTTCCTGGGCAGAGGGAAGGCACAGCAGAGCATTTTATAAATAGTGCGAGAACAGTGTAACTTCGCTTAATGCTTTATTGTTACTTGTACGTATGAGAAAGGTGCTTTAAAAATATAATACAAATTCACATATACAAGCTGTGTAATTCTAAGGAAAATTGAGACTGAAAGAATGGGGGCCAGTTAAATTTATCTTTCTGTAAAGCTGAAAAAAAAAAATGTTTTTCCTTTTCGACAACCCTCTGGATGTTCTTGGAAGGACCACGTGCTATTCTTCCTTTTTGCCTTTTGCTCACCATTGTCATCGAGGTTCCTTCTTTTCCAGCCTCACGGTGAATGGGTTCTTGCTTTTTTCTTCCCCTTCCCAGCTTTTTGCCCTCCCTGAATACATTTCACAGACGACCGTCTTCCCAAATAACAACATCAATTAATTTCTTAACTTAAAAAAAAAAATCCCATTGAGTCCTGAGCCTGCCCTCACCATTGATGTGTAGTGTGTGGGAGAGGCTGCGCAGGGACTGATAAGCCCCGTTTTCTGAAGGTGCAGCAGGAGGAGGCAAGCGCCTGATGCATGCACTCATGCCTCTGTCTGCTCAGCCAGCCCGCCCAGGACCAGCGCGCAGGTTGACCCATGCCCAGAAAGTGAGCTACCAGTCAGGCAGCCGCTGAGGGCCGAATGCCACTTCACGCGTGTGTCTGAGACTGGAGAAGTTGTGATTGGTTGGTTTCTGTTTTTGAATAGACAACTGCTTGTCCCTTGCAGTTCGCTCTCGGTTCCTGGGGAGGGTTTCTCACCACGCTCCCGTCCCCTTTTGCAGAATCTGATGACCTCCCGGGGGAACCTGCACTCGGGCATCAGCGTGCTCCTGCCTGCCAGGATGCTCCCCATGCAGTGGTAGACGTGGGCCGAGTTGCCAGCATCACCCCGTGTTCTCAGACGGTTCCTCAGATGATGGCTGCAGGTAAATGTCGATGGTACACACGGGACACAAACAGGATGGGTCGAGTTGCTGCTGCCGGAACCTCCCCAGCCGTGGAATTATGCATTGAACTTGGGAGTCTGGGCCCTTAAGGCAATCAGGCCATGCATCTCCGCAAAACCAAAGAGCATGAAGTCAAATTTCACGCACTCCACTGTTTCTGTTGGATTCTCTCTGTGTAACTCGCTTTTTAATTTTATTTATTCATAGTGGTTTTCTTTCTTTTTTTTAATGAAAGTGCCTTTAAGAAATAGTTTGGAAAAATCACTTTACTCAGACACCTGCATTTTCTTAATATAAATGATTTAAAAGCTGGTAAGGGAGGGAGTACGGTACAGAATACCCCTCAATAAATCCAGGCAGGAGCAGTTCTACTTGACAGCTGCCCTTCTACTAGATAGTTCGAAGCCGTGCCTACTCCAGAATTACTCTTGGAAGCATGAATTTATTTATTTTTAGTCCACTAAGCCATCTGACTTGTTTTACCAAGAGGCTGTCAGTGCTTCGCCTCTCAGCCCCGTCACTTCTCTGGGAGAAGGAAGTGAGTTTTCAGGTTTTTTTCCAGGGGTATCTCCTTAATGGCATGCTGTGTGTAATGTAAGCTACATGTCATTAAGTCTCCTCCCAGAAACTGTTTGCAAATGCTTTATAGTTACGTCTGGAGAAAACATTGCCGTTGATCCGTTGATTATAGTGCTTTATTTGTGTGTGTGTATTGGAGGGGGGGGAGGGCTTGGAAGTGCACTACATGGAGCCTCACATCTCCAGAAACGTGCCTTCCTTTAAAACAAACATTCTTTGCTTATTGATTCTACGTTGCCGGTTCTTTTTCCCTCCAGCAGCTGACGGTCTGGGGAGTATAGCGATAGACACGACCCAGCTCAACATGTCCGTGACAGATCCCACAGCCTGGGCCACAGCCATGAACAACTTGGGCATGGTTCCCGTGGGGTTGCCTGGACAGCAGCTCGTGTCTGGTAAGCTTGCCCCTGGTTTCGAAGAGGCTCGCAGCAGTGCCAAAGGGTGTGGGTGACAGGTGCCTGATCATCTCTGCCCATGGCGAGTGCCGAACACGGCCTGAGATCTAAGCCTGAGGCATGCTTGGCAGGTCATGGTGGAGATTCTTCTGCACGCCTCCCTACCCTCCTGCCTACTAGCTGTTCACAGTAAAAGCCCCCTTTGCTGTTACTGCACTGGGCAGTGTTGTCTGTCCTTTGTAACCTTGAAACCTCAATGGCTTTGTGTTTTTAAATTGGTAAATAGAATGGCTAATATGTGCTTCCCAGGTTTCAAGACCCATTCACGTACATTATTGTGTTCAATTGCACCGTCTTCCCTCTGAGACAGCTGCGTACTGAGGTTTGTTGCTGCTGCTTTTGTTAATGCTCCCATTTCACAAGTTGGGGCAGAAGGCCAGAGTTTTTGTGACTCTTCTGGCCTTGAAGTAGCCAAAGGTAAAATCTCAACTCATCTGGTGCAAAAGTTTGCATTTTCTCTCTAGCACACTTTATAATCATAATACAAGGCATTTCATAGAATGCTTAGAAATGTCCAGAGCCAAAGATTTTTCTAGAAGATTTCATCGTGTAGCTTGTGTTTGTTGAAGGTTCTACATGTGCCCTGTAGAAAGTGCTTTTGGACCATGGTGTGTGTGTGTGTGTGTGTGTGTGTGTGTCCTTGAGGAGCCTGTCACCCTGAATTGGAAAGAAAGGAAAACAGCACCTGAAAAGCAGCAACAAACACAATGTGAAGAATGAGGCACTAAGCAGCGTCGTCGTAGATGCCTCATGTCGTAACTTCCAGATCGGTCCCTGGGGCTCTGAGATGAAAGCTGAGCTATGTCTAGAAGGATAAATAGGATCCCCATGTTCACCCCCCTCCTCACTCCCTAGTCCTGCACCGAGGCCCTGTCCAGGTGCAGGGCTCCAGGCGTCAACGGAACAGGTCACCACCTCCCAGGATATGCCCTGGAGAGGGGACGGCCATGAATGACCTGTAGTTGTTGCTGTAAGGGCAGCAGAACGACTCACCTGTAGCCCTGGGCGAGGCGAGGGTGGCCGGGCAGTCAATGGAAGCCACGTACTTTTAGAATGCTTCTCTGTTACACGCTGCAGCCCAGTGTGCATTGTGCTGAGTTGACTGAGCATTTGGTTGCTTGTTTCTTTTCATTTGTGTGACGAGAAGTCATAGATGAATAATTCTGAATTAGCTGTAGTGAACTTTAGACATGTAAAACTACTCAGCTGGAAAGCCAGTGTGGTGACTGTGCCAGTTCTGTGGTTGGTAGGAGGATTCAGGGTGGGGATGTACAAGAAATCTTCAAATGGATCATGGAAATGTCTGTTAGGAAAAAACTATGCATAGATTTCAAAATTTTTGCCATGCAAATAAAGATCTTTTTAAAATCTTTGAGAGGCAGAGAGATTGAGATAGAAAGGCGAAGCCCACATCTACTGGTTCACTCCCCAGATGTCCACAAGGGCTCGGGCTGGGCTAGACCAGGCCAAACTCAGAAGCCAGAAACTTAATTCTGGTCTCCCACACGGGTGGCAGCGATCCAATACTTGGGAGTGGAGCTGGGGCTTGAATCTAGAGATTCTTACATGGGAGCTGGTTGCCCCTACTGCTGCCTTCACTGCTGTGGCTCACTTACCTCAAGTTCTCTGTTAATTCTGTTTTCCACAAGATTTTAAAAATACCTTCCTATGTGTATGTGTGTGTGTGTGTGTGTACATATGTGTGTGTGTGTATATATGTATATATGTGTGTGTAGATATATATATATATGCAGTTTCTTTTTCCTGTAACAAGAAAGAACATGTGAGTGCACAGGAGACAAGGTAAAATGTGAGACGGAGATAAAGGAAAGACAAAGATTGGGTTATAAAACATTATACTTACAGGGCTGACATTGTAGTGCAGTTGGTTAAGCTGCTGACTGTGCCTCTGGCATCCCATATGGGCGCCAGTTTGTGTCTCGGCTGCTCTACTTTTGATCCAGCTCCCTGCTAATGCACTTGGTTAAGCAGATAAAGATGGCCCAAGTGCTTGGGCCCCTGCACCCACATGGGAGACACGGATGAAGCTCCCGGCTTCAGCCTGGCCCAGCCTTGGCTGTTACAGCCATTTGGGAAATAAACTACAGGATGAAGCTCTCTCTGTCTCAGTCTGCCCCTCTCTTCTCTCTAATTCTGCCTTTCAAATAAATAAATATATCTTTTTAAAAAACACACACACATTACACTTAGGATATTTATAAAATGCTATAAAATTCAGACAACTGAAGATCAGTCTGCTGCCAGGGTATGTGTGTACATAAATAACATTTTCTATGGTTTGGACGTGTTTATCCAAGTTCCTTTTTCCTAAAGCCGATCTGACAGATTCTTCCTTCTAATAACTTGAAAGCAAAGGTTTGCGTTTTCTCCACTCAAGTTTTCCCAGCTGCCTAATTGAAATATTCATACAGCAGAAATTACTTTACTCTTGTCTCACCTCCCACTTGTGTCAGAAACTGTTGTGTGACTTCTGAAGGAAGCCCAGAGCCTCAATAATTCATTATTTTTTCTTACGATTTTGAGTCTTCTGACATTTTCACCATGACCAATTTATGATTTTCCCGGCAACTTACCATGGAAAGAATTACAGCCCTCCTCGTTATAGAAGATTTGCCGTATCTGCCCTGAATTACGTCCCCTATCTCCTGGATTAGCTGAGCTGCTTAACCTGTGTGTGAGCCTTTCGGGTGTTTCTGGGCCCCCGGCAACATTTCTGCAGCCTGACACTTTCTCTGCATTTTGCTGTGTGCTCAAGGCCCCTGCCTGACCTCGTTTGCTGATGTGACCTCAGGGTCAGGTTCAGATGTAGTATGTGGCGAGTGTGTATGTCTTTTTTTCCAGTCCTTTTTCTAGACAAATATTTGAGTCATACTAAACTTAAAATCTCATACTGCGCATTTGTATTATCTCATCCTCAGCTGTTTTCCCATTGTATACTTTTTTTAAAAAAAGATTTTATTTATTCATTTGAGAGGTAGAGTTACAGAGAGGGAAAGACAGAAAGAAAGGTCTTCCATTTGCTGGTTCACTCCCCAAGTGGCCACAACGCGTTTAGTTGGGCCAATCCGAAGCCAGGAGCCAGGAGCTTCTTGGGGGTCTCCCATGTGGGTGCAGGGACCCAAGCACTTGGGCCATCTTCCACTGCTTTCCCAGACTAAAGCAGGAAGCTGGGTTGGAAGTGGAGCAGCCGGGACTCATACAGGATCCTGACGCTGCAGGTGGCAGCTTAACCCGCTGCGCCATGACATCAGTCCCAATATACTATTATCTTTTGCTATATCCATTTCTCAGCTGCGGTGTTGGTAAGTTTTTTATTGGCTTTGGTCAGTTGTGACATAACTTAATCCTTGGACTTCTTAAAAATATTTATCTAGTCTACTTTTTTGCCTTTTAATGATGGCTCTTTTATATAACTTTATGTTTAAATTCTTTATGAGTTGTTTATTCCATTCTAAATGCAGATTGCTTTGCCTGTTTTGAAGTTGACAGCCAAGTATGCTCCCAGTTTTCCATGTACCCTTTGATTTACTTCTGCCTTTCATCAAAGTTGAGCCTGTGTATGTGTTTTGGTCTTTTTCCGAAGACTCTGTTCTGTACCACAGACCTATTTTGACCCTCGCACCACATTGTTTCCGTACTTGGAGTTCTATGGTATGGTTCTGCGAAGTATCTGAGACTCTCTTTATGGTACCCAAGGTACAACACTATTTGTTTCTTTGCAAGCAGCCTGGCATCCGCTCAGCGTGGTGCTGGCCACCCCTGGAGCTCTTCACTGAGACTGTTGAAGGGTAGAGGCAGCCTTTCATGTTTGAGAAAGGACTTAAAGATTATTTAGTGTAGCATTCCCTCCAAGAAATCCTCTCTAAAATGTCTCTGACAGGATTATGGAGAGGCTGCATTTTATGAGTACTTGGCTTTCTCCCAAAGTTTCTGGTATTTCTAAATGACCAACCACTCTTCTCATATTTGTTAAAATTAAACTGACACTAACTCCCATTCCTCACCGCTTCTTCAATTTATTGGGAGATTAAAATTACCAGCAACACAAGGCATAAATTTTTCATGTCCTCGGATTTTATCAAAAGGATGGCCCAGGAAATCAAACCAGTTCTTAATGTCATGGCGTGCCCTTCTGAGGGGCTGTTGTGTGTTCTTCCAAATGCACCTCCCCTCTTTTCATCACAAAATGTTCCCCACCATGATTCCATTCCCACTTGCATGAACTTCCCATTTCTTGTTCTTCCAAAGTGCTATTTTAAATCCTTAGGCCTAATGTTCTGTATCTGCAATGCACCATTGTATTGTCATATGCAGCCCCAAGTCACATAATCAGAGGTTTTACTTTCTCTATGAGTTGGTATTTACATCTGTATGTGATTGTTTAATGTTTGCTTTATTTTAATTTTGAAAAAAATTTTCCATCTACTTGAAAGGCAGGGAGAGAGGAAGAGATCCATCTTCCATCTGCTGGTTTGCTTGCCAAATGCCCATGGTAGCCAGGGCTGGGTGAAGCAGAAGCTGGGAGTCCAGAGCTCCATCTGGGTCTCTCACATGGGTGGAAAGACCCCAGGCACTATCATCTGCTGCCTCCCAGGATGCATTAACAAGAAGCTGGATCAGAAGCAAAGAATGCCAAACTCAAACCGGCACTTCAGTATGGGACTTGGGCATCCTAAGCCATGCTACATCATCCTGCTACACCATGACGCCCACCCAATACTCTGTTTTAATATTGTGAAGGTTTTCTTTACCAGTTGTTGCTGACTTGTTCTTATTTTCAGTATCTTGTGTGTTGGTCTAGATTCAGCTTTTTCAAGCTGGTCTGTTGAAACATTAGGGTTTCACAGTTATTTTCAGGTACGGTAGACATCACATGAATATTTAGACAGTGATGGCACACTCTGGGTTAAACACAGGTG